ACTAAAATCGACAACGTGTTGCACTCGTTATGTTTTGAAAAGTTTCCAGAATATGTCTCTAGTATTCAAAGTTTGTTGTTGTTTTCTGTCTCTTGAGTTTATATTGATGTTGTCCGATGCTATTTCCTATTTATTTTTATTTTTTCAATGTGTGTGAACAACTGACTAACCTATGTGCACACAATACCATTTAGCAAGTGACAAATGTTATATTTGGAATAACACTCTCTCAGTAAAGTACAGATTCTCATTAGGGATTCGAACCCACACTGCCAGTGTGAGGCACCTAATCGCCAGCACACAAAGTCAGCAAACACCAAACATGGGCTTCACACATTGTATCCATGTCGGGAAGCGAACCCGGGTGTTCGGCGTGACGGGCGAACGCTTTAACCACTACCTGTCAAAGATATTACTCGAAGATGTATATATTATTCTAAAGATTAACTTAAATTTACACCATTTTTGCACATATGTTTAAACAATATTTTGCCACGAAGGAAAATTGAGTATTGTAATATTTAATTTGAATTTGTGCAAAACGCAGCTCCGATGATCGATTCAGTTATATCACGACGTATCAGACTAATTGTCAGAGCAGCCCCAATCACGAGTCATGATATATAATCGTAAACTGGATGTACAAGTAATTTTAAATTAGAATTTTACCTACAATATGGCCTCCACAAAGAGCCAAGGTCTCCCCTTTGCATGGCGTTTAATATTGCTCAGGTACTTAATGAAAGGTATTGTAGACGTGACGTCATAACTGTTTCATTTTGTAGTATTGAACTTAGAAAAAATACTTTGTTACATATGTGCAGCAATTTATTTTATGTATAAACGTTTGTCCAAGAGCGGTTAGATCAATAACAGCATATGAGTCATACGTTAGTTCAGGTGCATGTAAGTATATGTCCGACCCGGATCCGGGGACGAACTGGCCCCTTGTATCCAATTCTTGTGATCAGTGCCAACTGGTCGCCAGGCTCGGTGACCTTGGATGGTGGCGTGGCATGGTGACCTTGGATGATGGCGTGGCATGCCATTTGGCGTGGTTCCTTGTTAGTGGTTTCAGTCACTGGTGTTCACTCACTCACTCAATGACATATTCATAACGTACTATCACTATAACTGTTGTTCGGGCATGTCGGTATCTTGCATCAAGTATCTTGTATCTTTCCTTACAGTGAAGTACAAAAACAACCTTGCGATAATTCAATTCGAAGGACGTCATTTCACTCCAAATATTTGGAAAACACCTGACACAATCCTGTTGGTCTTGGTAAGAACTATGGCCCGATCTAAAAGTTGTTCTGCTCATTTCAGAGAAGAAATTCCAGAATCATCGATCAACTGATGTGGCAATTATCACACAGTTGGTCGGTACAGAAGCCAAATAATAATATTTCTACAATGAATATGGTTTCACACCATGGTTAGCAATTTTCGAGCAACATCAGAGACGAGAAATGGACTTAGCACTGTGCACCCATGTTGAGAATCGAACCTGGGGCTTTGATATGACAAACAAACGCTTTAACAAGTGGGCCTCCACCTGCCCTCCAATATGATTACAACGTCATGAAAACTCAAGAAATAAGGTTAAACTGTTGTACATATAATACGATGATTGAAAGCAGTAGTAAGGAGGCATTTGGTGGCGGTAGCAATAGAAAGTAAGACCTGGGATTATGGTTCTGAATTTGAAACATTTAGGATATATAGTTGTCAATTATGATTCATCAATACTTATACCATACAATATACCTATACCTATACGATTGTCTATTTGACATATCAATAACTACACAAGAAAGCAATTTAGGAACCAGTAATCCTTCTGGAGGTCCGACGTGAAGTGAAAACAGTCTTTGTATGGCGAACTGTTTTCAATGAAATTTGATATTTAGTTCAGTACACACTAGCGAAATAAAGTTGTTCCTGAAAAAGCTCTTGAGCTAGGACCTGCTTAAAACCAGGTATATGGTGTATCATACGCGTATTATATATATTATATGTGTATATTATATTATATATGAAACAAATATGAAGTAAAGTTTGAAATGGATGTGTACACGTAGGTTTGTTCTAAAACTGAAAAGCCAATATCGATTTAAACATTGTAGAGAATTTGCAATATTGGATTTTCTGCAATGAAGGTAGTGCAAATAATGGCATATTGTGTTGACGGGCGTAAACGGAACTGTTAAAAGCAATTTAATATTCGTTCATATCGATTATGCAACATTGTGTGCAAATTGGACCATTAATAAGGTATAAATGAATGTTCAATGTAACTATTGGTGCAACAGCTGCAGTTAGTCAGCAGTTTCCTGACCTGATGCGAGTTGTACACGTGTGTATACATGGTTGGTGTGCACGATGCAGTTTGTCATTTTGCTAGTAAAGATTGTTTTCATGCACGCAATACTCACACCCGCAACTATATCTGATGCAATTAATTTCGATAATTGTCATGTGATGACAGACAAATTAGTCGTAACTTAACTTGCATGTTTGCTAGTCTTGAGTTTTAAACTACCAGCAACACAAAACATATTAGGACATTGGGTACAAAGCATATCGTAAAAGTACACAACACAAACCGAATACTTACAAATTAACAAATATAACACGTAAGCGAAACAGATCCCATTGGTTGTAAAAGGCAAAAGAGCGCGGACGGATCACTGAAAATCAGCGATGACACCAAATGTCCTCGAAAAACGTAAGCATGTCCTGTCCGAAAGACCTCCTTAATCCGTAAACTACGTGAGATGGGAAGGGGGGTGGGGTGTGTGACCAGGTCTCATGGTTCTAATTGATTAGTTTTTGTGCATGCAAATTCAGAGTGGCTAAATATTATCCACAATACTGCATTGCAAGAGGGATGACATCAACTTTCCAAATATCATCTGTCCTTTTGGGTCGAACAATATTCTACCAGCTCCCGTCTACATTTCACAAATTTGTAGGTCCACTTTTTGAGGTAGACACACGCCTCTCGTTCGAAGGTTGTTTTGTTAGGGTTCAAACCTTAAAGGCGTTTTAGTAAAGCTTTCAAAACTTAGCATTTTACGGAAGATATAGGGGATTATGTTCCCATATTCTTAAGGTGAACACTTGACTTACCTTAAGATGTTTTTGACGGGTGCCACCAGTAGGGAAGGGTACACTCACCTCTTCGCGAACACCTAATATTAACACTATTTGATAGTGTTTCATAAACACATGCTGATGATATAGTCGGAGCCGTAACATTATGTTTGCTTGTTTGTTGTTTAGCAATATTCCAACTTTGTGACGGTGGTCTGTACATAATCGAGTCTGGACCAGAGAATTCAGTGATTGACATCAAGAGCACCCCTTTCCGCAATTTGGATACGATGAAATGCCCCGAGCTTGATCACCCGATCCCATTAGTCGCCTCTTACGACAAGCATGGATTGCTCAAGATCAATTCCAACCCGGATCTTCATACACATATTAGTAGCTTATCAGAATCATATTATTGTTTATCTAAAAAAAACGTGTGCATACGTTCCTACAATATTATGGTGACACGCCATGATATAACTGAAATACCCAACTCACTCACTCAATTACCATGGCTCGGCCATAGCCTGTCCTTACATCACTATTGATGTTATTAACTGCGAAAGGGACCTAATAAGCATGATACTGACACTGCCAGGGAAAACACCAGGTAGTTTCACACTCGATGGTTCAGTGGTCTCAGTGGTGTGTTAACAGATCAGCGTGAGGATGGATGTCATTTTCCAGAATATTACAACAGTCTCATTAAATGAAATTATTAATAATTAATTTAGTTTGACGTTTGGTTGCGAGAGGGCGAAGAACGATCAAAAGAATTATGAGAATGAATTCAACATCGATACCTGTACAGGTGTCTACTGTGTTGTTGACTTGCTACTGTGCAAACCATCACATATGTTGGATCGATGCTGTCTTTCCCCGACAACACTAACTACTGCTGATGGGAACAAAGATACGTTAACATTACATCGTTCGGTGCATACAAAACCAGCTGTCGGACATTCCCAAATAGCACACCACACCCTAACTGTATAATTTCATTTTGAAAAAAGAGTTTTTAGTTCGAAATCAGCAAATGGCTAAATTCATGGACTTGGTGAACTTAGAGACAAGTGTACTTCATGGCAATTTCGTTTTTTTTTAACTCTCTACGTATGTAATCCGCAAAAAACACAAAGGCCCAGTTGTGTTAACTGCGCCGCTAAAGCGTGCAATGATCCTCAGTGATCGTGCGGTGTAATCCTAGATTCGGCTTGATCATTATCATTTGTTGATTGTGACCATACCCGTGCTCGTGTGTTCCGCCAGTGTAGTAGCGGAAATTCCTTAAATTCCGGAAATAGCTGTTACCTCGTGATGCAAAAAGAAACGCAAACAATAGAAACCTATTAAGAAGTAGGTTAAGAAAAGATGTTTCCAATGTGTATCTATTAATGACAAACCTAAAAATTAGTTGAGTGTTACCACAGTGTCTTTATTCTTATCACGATATGCTGCACGTGATTTTCAAACTTTACATGCATACCTTGCACGAGACAATTGTTTACATCTCGAGTCTTGGATCTATGTGATGCGATCATGGTTCTCGGTTCTCACAGCATTACAGTATGTTCGTTTGTCCATCGAATCAATCTAATATTGCTTGAATATGAGTAATTCTTCGAAACTTAACCAATATATATGGTATTCGCGTTTCTTTTGACGGTGAGTATATATGCATGACATGCTGCTCAACAGTGGCGTAAAGCACAACTCAGGTCCTATCCATTCCTACCCGCACATTTACTCTGACTGATCAGTGATGAGAACTGTAACAGTAATAACTCTCCTCATAGCTAGCTTTATTAATCTCTTGAAGACTGCATGAGTACATACTGGCTGGCTGAATACTGGTATAGTTTGTGCCTTCTGGAGTTAAAAGCAACTATTTTATAATAACTATGTCGCGTCCAGAGATCGAACCCCCGACCTGCGTGAGTAAGTGCGTGCATAACTGCCTGATTGCTTATGGGCGTAAGATCTTTTGGTATGACACGTCAGTGGATCAAACTACCGGCGTGCGTATGTGCGAATGTGCGTAACGTCTTTTGTAATGAAGTGTCCGGGGACTCCCCTCTCTGGGCCGACGCTGTATTTACTAGACTAGGGAGGCCGACTATTTGTAAAGTCAAATAAATAGACCCAGATGGGCCTCCAGACATCCAGACCTCGACTCCCCAACACGGGTTTACATGAACTAGTTTATATAGGAACTGGCTACCAACCAGGTATTACAATACAAGCCAAATTTCAATGGCTGGAAGGAGTGAAGTTGATCATTTTATCGTTGGTCTTTATCTGTATTCTGAAGTTTCTAATATTTGAGACCAAAATCTTCTTTCCGGTAATCCTGTTCATTAAATAAAGTAGACAAATCAAAGAAGACGGTCAGGTGTTTATTTCCATATGAAGACAACAATGTATAGACAGTGTTTGTGAGGGTAGAATTCTTATCATATCGAAAAATGTTTTTGTAAACAGTAACAATAGGCACAGTATGTGCTGTTTCACGAATAAAAGTTGATATTTGGTGCGCTTTATCGTGTTTACTCATGTCCTTCAGATTAAATTAAACCACCGTGAACGAAACTGTTGTGTTAAGCCAATCAATAAGAAACCTGAGTCCGCCACGTTATATAGCAGTGATGTCCATTGAATTGGATCACTAGGCATTATCACTGCCTCGGGCTTCTTCATCAGGATCCTCGCCACCATTGCCGCCATCCTCGCTGCCATCCTCGCCGCCATCCTCGCCGCCATCATCGCCGCCATCATCGCTGCCATCATCGCAGCAAACATCATCGGTTGCTGCAGGAGCCTCAGTTGCAGCAGGAGCATCAGTTGCTACAGGAGCATCAGTTGCAGCAGGAGGAGCAGCAGGAGGAGCAGCAGGAGGAGCAGCAGGAGCATCAGTTGCTACAGAAGCATCAGTTGCAGCAGGAGCATCAGTTGCTACAGGAGCATCAGTTGCAGCAGGAGGAGCAGCAGGAGGAGCAGCAGGAGGAGGAGCAGGAGGAGCAGCAGGAGGAGCAGCAGGAGCATCAGTTGCTACAGGAGCATCAGTTGCAGCAGGAGCATCAGTTGCTACAGGAGCATCAGTTGCAGCAGGAGGAGCAGCAGGAGGAGCAGCAGGAGGAGGAGCAGGAGGAGCAGCAGGAGGAGCAGCAGGAGCATCAGTTGCTACAGGAGCATCAGTTGCAGCAGGAGCATCAGTTGCTACAGGAGCATCAGTTGCAGCAGGAGGAGCAGCAGGAGGAGCAGCAGGAGGAGCAGCAGGAGGAGCAGCAGCAGGAGGAGCAGCAGGAGCATCAGTTGCAGCAGGAGCATCAGTTGCTACAGGAGCATCAGTTGCAGCAGGAGGAGCAGCAGGAGGAGCAGCAGGAGGAGCAGGAGGAGCAGCAGGAGGAGCAGCAGGGGGAGCAGCAGGAGCATCAGTTGCTAAGGGAGCATCAGTTGCAGCAGGAGCATCAGTTGCTACAGGAGCATCAGTTGCAGCAGGAGGAGCAGCAGGAGGAGCAGCAGGAGGAGTGGCTGTGCCCGAGAAATAAATATGTAATGACATAATGTGACATAATGATAAAAAAAGGCGATCCCTTTACATATGGGGACATGTCTATAGATAAACCCATTATTGACACGTAAACAATATGGCTTTAAAACTGGTATGTTCGCCCAGATAGATCAGACCAGCATAGATTTGGTCTTACTAAACTCAGGAAATGACCCCCTAAAATGTATCATTAACATTGATCAACACTGATGACAGCGGATGTTAATAGATTCAAAATATAGAATCATGCATAAATATTGCATGAAAAAGGAAAGTTTTGTCAAGTTTTGATGTACAAATAATTCACCTACTACGAATAAAAATAAGTTTTCTATATTACATATGCTACGCTTCTTTTGGGGACTTAAATGCACGTCATCTTTCGACAGCAATATTTTCTTATTACGGCTGTGAAATGAAAAACAAGGTCATTTTCGAAATAAATAAAGGAACCGCCCAGCTTGGGGAATTTTGACAGTTGAAATGAAAGTTATACGTCAGCTGTTAATAATTATCACTTTATTTTTAAAAAGGGTCGACACATCGCTTCTTCAACTGGTAGCAGTACTGTACAGCTTCCCATAATTGATTGAATACCATCGCCTGTATGATTCAAATACAAACTTATGTGATATGCATTCGCGCCGAATAAGTACATACCGACAATGGATAATAATATGTGCATTTATAATGCGCCAAATTCCATTTACCAAGTGGATGCTCATGCTATTATTACGCCGACCAAAGGATCAGTGTGCACTCAATTTTCATTCTCAGCTTCCTGGGGAGTATACAACCCAAGCTGCTTGTGAGGTGCTTGAAGGTTAACAACCACATTGCCATATCATCCCACCGGGTACCCATTCACTGCAGGGCGAACAGAGCCACATTTCGAAAAAGGTCATTGCCAAATGAGACACCACATGTGCTTCCGTGTGTGACAGGAAGCCTTCACTGAAAACTCTCACGAGTCAAGCTCTTGAACGCGGTCACCCATCCAACTGCTCTCCGAGACCGACGTTTCTTAACTTCATCTGTATGTGACCTGTGCGTTGTGAACAGGACCACGAGCCAATGAATTTGAAAGATCTCGCTTCTTCACTTCACGCATAAACACACATAAACACAGATGTTCAAAGTAAAAACTCACCGTGACTTGCTTCACCCATTTGCAACAAGCAAGCAAATGCCAGCGCGACCGTCATGATCATAATCGTCTGGGTCCTCATAATGCTATTCTGTAATGCATGAAACAAAAGATATGTTTAATTTTGTTTTATAATAATACCTCATTATCTGGAACTCCCGCTGACCAGATAAATAGTTCGACTTATCCGGGTTTTGAGATATCCGACTCGACCTTATTACCGTTTGACTTAGTCACTAGACATCAGGAAACAAACACATCATTTATGTTAGATAAATAACGCTTGTATAACAAGAAATGAAAACCAAAGCATTTATCATATTTATCGATTAGTTAATGCATGTTCATTTTTTTCAAATTATATAAACTCCAAGTTGTGCTAGGTTGTACTTTCCAACACTTTCGAGTTCGACTGATAACGAAAAGTTTTAGCTTTTTTGAAACTCTCGAGACAACAGGGACGTCGACACATCCATTTCCACACACACGAGTTACATATTGGTAGACGTAGTAACTGTTTCCCGCGACCAGACTGTGTATTCCACACAATCGGGGATTCGACTCATCCGACTTTGAGGCAATGGGCTTCGGCTGTATTTCGCTGATGACAACCTACACCTTGTGTTTCCTTTTGTGTTAATAAGTATAACCCACCTCGTTCTTGCTACATAACTATTGAATCATATGTAAGTGTCTCTATTCATCATACACTTCATTAACTCTATGGTGTGGTACCCGCATTCGGAGTAGTTCTTGACGTTGTAGCTAGTGCCTTGTTGAAGACATAGAGGATAATTCATGTGTCGAGTGTCATGCGTCTCGATATCCTCTTTTCGCCCGTCACTCGATGAGAGAAACGTGATATTTCACTCGACACATGAAATATCCTATTATATATTTTTTGTGTAGTTGTCTACCGCAGAATTTAATTATTATATAACAAATGACAATCCTGAAGCGTAGGCTCCCTCCCAAACACGCAGGGACGTTTCACCACCCCTGGTAATTGCGACTTAAAAATAATCCGTATTTGCAAAATCTTTAAAAAAATCATAATTAAAAGTAACAAAAATATTTGAGGTCTTAAATATACATTTGAATGTGATTACATACGAGTTACAAAGTTTCTTGAGTTCTACGGGACAAAATTTGGAAGCGAAAGATTACATCCTGGTCAAGTAACGAAAATGACGCTTTGCGAAACAAAAAGTTTCAATTGACGAGTACGGTTTAAAACGAAACATTTTCAATAACAAACGGCAAATAGCTACATTAACTCCATAAATGGCCATTATTTTGCCATGTCAATGTGGAACTAACGTAAAATCAGTTTGTGTATGGTAGACACCTACCAGAAAGGGATACAATTTACGGGAGGTAACTCTTGTTTGAAAACAGTTCCGTCAAAGTATTGTGTTCTCTGCAGTGTAATATCAAGTGTTATGTTCACTGCAGTGTAATATCAAGTGTTATGTTCACTGCAGTGTAATATAAAATGTTATGTCCACTGCAGTGTAATATCAAGTGTTATGTTCACTGCAGTGTAATATCAAGTGTTATGTTCACTGCAGTGTTATATCAAGTGTTATGTTCACTGCAGTGTAATATCAAGTGTTATGTTCACTGCAGTGTAATATCAAGTGTTATGTTCACTGTAGTGTAATATCACTGTCGTTCACTCTGAAGTATATAATAAATTGCCTCTATCTAATTAAAGTATGACAAACTGTTTTGTTGTAACTGAAGGTTTTCAAACAAATATGAAAGATACATTGAGATGTGCCGCTTTGCTCAAACTTAGTCCCTCTTTAGGCACATATGCTTACGGTCTTGTCAAGGACTAGAGTGAGTGAGTGAGTGAGTGAGTGAGTGAGTGAGTGAGTATGGTTTTTCGCCGCTTTTAGCGATATGCCAGCAATATCACGGCGGGGGACACCAGAAATGGGCTTCAGACATTGTACCCATGTCGGAATCGAACCTGGGTCTTCGGCTTTACGAGCTAACGCTTTAACCACAAGGCCAACCGACCGCCCCCAAGGACTATAGACAATATATGACTCGAAAACTCTAAAGTTTACCTTATAATATTCATAAATATGTCTTGGCACAGCTCTATGCTAGTAGCGGTACGTTTCATCCCTGCTGGACTTACGTGAAAAGAAGCAACGAATGCGCGTTACATGTAAAACGTAGCTGCACAAAATAATGAAATATCAAACTCCTTTTCGTGCTGATATAGAAAGGGGTTACAACATTGCCGTGCATGTTGGCACATAAATGCCCATGTAAGAACTAACAGGCGAAAGGGTACCGGTAGTGGGTACTAGTTATAGATGAACACATGACACAGCCTAATGAGAAATATACAGAAGAGAGCTGAGACGGTGTCATGCAGACATTAATATGAACAGTTTTGACTCCAGCTTAGTAACTACGTGCGTGGCATTAATCGTTCCTATTCCTGCTAAATGTCAGACAGATTGATTATATAGCATATGACAGCATTTTAAATATCGATGGAAACCTAAAAGGGGTTGTTCAAGACAAGCTTCTCTGACTGATCATTCTCAACTTTTGACGTTGTATTGAAATATACACACATATATGGACAAAAAACGGAGTAATAGGATGTGACAAAACCACAATTTGTTTTAATCACGGATGAAGATACCTCGATTAGGCATTAGTTGTAACATATAGGTAATCCATTAAACATTTGGTATGCGGGAAATAACTTTCGAGTTTCTGTAAAAGCTTTCCCGTTTCATATTATCCATATACGCAATTTCATTCCTTAGTGAACAAATAAAGATCATGGTCAGGAGAATTGTGTCATGCGATGTTAAAAACACCAATACGTGTGTGGATGGTGCACTTGTACATGTATATACATATACCTTATATTATGACAACATTATGACTCGAACGAGGCCCCTCTATGTGACGAGTAAAAGCACTAACCACTAAACAGCCCCACAGTACCTTACAAAAAGTAATCAGAAACGCAAATATTCACACCGTGATAAACAGTTAAGATGATGCATTTGCAATATTCGATAAAGAGGTATAAAATGAGCTCAATGTACAAGATTACAAACAAAATAACGCAAACTATTTGCAGAAGAGTATATAAGTATATAAGAAGTAAAATAAGTTCAACTTACGTCAGACAAAACACTCGTAGCCAAACAACATGAAATGCAACGTTTCACAAATCTACACGTGTACATAACCTGTTTCTATGACCTCTGCGGATTTGAATAAGGTTGTCTTTTTTATCTGATCTCTGACGGTGCAGGAGATGGAAAACATACGTGCTTAATACATTGCCTCGTCATGGGGTTCTAAACGTCATTGTGTTTGGTGCGTTGGTTTGTGAAAGAACTCGGCAACATGTGTGATAATACGTAAGCACATTGTTCACGGCAGAAAATGCTGTTCAGGTTTTGAAAAGAGGAACATTCTATGAAGGATATCTGTATAACAATATCATATTCCACAGAGCAAAATGCTTTTATTGTATTTACAAATGTTATTGTTATTTTCAGTGTTCTTTTCGAAAAAATAAAAACATTACGTGACATAATAACACGCAAGAACTTACGCAGTATTATAAATGAAGCAACACGAATTACAACACATTCGGCTAAATTTATTGACCCTATTTTAGTAAGTAATGATTGTAATTAATCCTTATCCGGTGTACTAGATCTTAGTTCTGATGTATCGGATCACAGGGAAGTTTTCGTGTCTGTTAATGTATATCTTAATATAAAAAAGTCATATAGAAGAAACGTATGGCTCTACAAACAAGCTAACTTTGCTAAAATGAATATACAAATTAAGAGTTTTTTAAAGAATGAACGG